ACATTCTTTACCTAGGAGTAAGTATGATTCAGCCAAAAGTTGTGTCTGCAATGAGGTCACCAGTAAGGGCTGGTAAAAAAAGAAAAAATGAATGGAGTCCAGGAAGTCTTTCAGGGCCTGGGGCGATTCATAGGAGTTGCCATTCGTTTGTTGAGGGGAGTCTCAATAGTCTACCTGCAAATCTACCTTACAGCTAGTGCATTTGTGAAAGAAGTTGAAGTACAGTTAAAATAAGTGGGTAGTCCCAGATCTATAAACGTGTCAGCCCTTCAAGGTAGATCAGACTAGGAATCCAGCATCATGGAGGTCAGTATTACTTTTATTGTAAAGCTCTAGTAGCAGAATCTTGCAAGTCTGAGTGAGTTTCCCTCCTCCCTCCCTTTATCTCTGTGAGAACTAGGAAGGATCTTGTCTGAGACAATCCTGCCCTATCGGATTATCGTTTTCTCTTCAAAAGCAAGAATTTGATAGATATTATGGGGCTCATTGTGAAACAGACAAGCAGTTGATATTATTTCAGAAGACATTTATAATTACAGAATTAAATGCCGGATGTATTTTGGAATCAGAGTAGAGTACTATTGGTTCGTCCTCGATCTTTTCCAGAATGGGGTTGCCTTTCAAGAGATGTGGGTCTGAATATCAGTTGGTGGCCCAAGGCTTCCGTAACGCTGGGAGATAATGTCAAAGCTGGGGTCTTCTCCCTACACACCAGCGGCTGAACTGAGCTATTTTTGGCCGGCTAGCTGGATGGGACTGAAATGTTTCCTTGGGTCTGTGTACCCAAACTCACCAAGTAAATAATCGCTGCTGTTGTCCCTCGAGGCTCCCGCTTTATTCTGCCAATTCTCTTGGTTATCCCCAGCAGTGATCGAGCAAAACAGTCCTGGCAAAGCTTGGAGCTGCTTATTTTTAGACTGAGCTCAGGCCCCAAGGGAGGCTTCTGCAATCCTGTACATTTTAATCCAAATATTTGTCTTGGCTTTGGCGGTGGGTAACGCTGATAATGTTGATCGGGAATATGTGCAGATTAAAAAACAGAACAGAAACATGGCCCTTCTGTTGGGGAAATACCCCAAGTGAAACAACCAACAAGCTAGAGGGAGTTATCCTATTTTATTCCGTGAAAGGATGATGATGATCATTGGGCACGTCTCCAGAAAGGAAAGTGGCACTTGGGTTTCCACAAGAGTAGAGTACATATGTTTCCAGTACACAGTACATATTTATTTAGTTAATTGCATGTAATTAATAAAGAAGAGCCAAGCAAGGTAACGTCATGAACGTGTCCGTATTTGTTCTTTGAGAAGATTCCTTGCACCTGTGTACGGCAGAAGTATTTATACCTGGAGAGCAGATAGCTGGTTTTCACCTGCTTGAGGCCACGGTGGTCATGCCAGCTCATCAGGTCAGCTAGAGTTTAGTGCAGGGTATTTCTTAAAAGCTATCTAGCTCCTGCTACTGTCTGCTACTCCGCTTCCTTCTACCTCATGCTCTTCCTTTACTAACCAAGCTTCCTCCAGACTTTCCAGGCTGAGATGGTATCAAACACCGGCAGTACTATTTTTTCAATTTATTCCCGACTTGTAGAGGATCAATGCTATGGCAATATTGCAGGGTTCCTGCTCGTTATAATACCAGAACGGGGGTCCGACGCTCGTATGGATTGGTAACTTGGGCCACCATGTCTTCACAGTGTAATTAGGGTGGGTTGATTGAAGCCATGATGCAAGTGAGAAACGAAACTCTTACGCAAATCAGCCTTTTCATTAAAGCTCTTTTGTATCTTTTCTAAAAAAACAATATAGAGTTAATCAGGAAATATATTAGCTTGGAATATTAGTCCCATAAAATTTTATCATAGGTCCATAGGTCGGAATCAGACTTGAATGCAAGAGCCGGTGCTTGCTTTTTACTTAAAGTTGACCTGACTTTGCATCTATATGTAAAAATTAATGCAGATTGTTTTGCAAATTTCTGTCCAGTGGCTTGGGGGGGGGGCTGGGTCTTTTAAGCACCTCACAGCACTCCTGTAAACGGCTTTTGACGCAGACTTTGGAAACAGTCGGTGCGTTGACGGTTGATCTACGCGTTACATTAAACACATTGGTTACAGTATTTCATTGTTGTAAGCAGGGTTGAGTCTTGTTCTTAAACTGTTGAGCAGGTCACTGTAGAGCAAAATACTGCATTAAATGAACTTCCTGTTCTGCTGCAGGAAAACATGTTTTTATAAAGTGTCTTGTAAGCAAAGTCTGACTGACATGAGTACTCAAATTCTGTTCTCATCTGTATATCTTCGGTAAGAAACTGGTAAGGGCAATATTGCTGACTTCCTATTGCTTTTCGTATGGAAATGACTTCCCACTTCTCTGGTCCTATTGTAAGATGCCGAAGTTATTTGAATGCCTGGTTAATTATAATGTTGAATGTGCTCTAAAGTGCTGTAACATGCAAAGGAATTGAGGGTGAACGCTGTTTGTGAAACCAAATGAGTTGCACAGATGTATTTCTTGAGCATGTTGGGGGGAGCCCTTCCTGACCTCTTCCCCATGGATGCTGCATTCATGCAGACTTGTTGCAACCACCTTTCTGGTTGCCTTAAAGGCAGGGTGCCTTCTCCTTTTGGGGTACAGAAATAGAAGCCAGTACTGCACTGGTTGCTATTCTAGCTCTCATTGGGCCCAACCTACTGTAAAGCTTCATGTTTATTTGCAGAAATTGACAGGGCATTTTTAATTTGCATTCTGCATGCTCATAATTAAAAGGATGAGTCCACAGCTAAATTAGGATAAAGAAGTGGTATGGTGCTGAAGAAAAAGCCAAAGCCGAATTGAGCTTAAAGTGGAGAGGGTACTGAATCTTAAATATCAGACTGAATAAAGCAAAAGAGCTTGTAGTCATCTATAATAAATTGGCTTAATGTATATTTTTCAACATGGCAGTAACATGATTTTCACTGGGAATCTTCCCTTAGCTTCCTTCTCTCTGCCTTAATAACCTTCCCCATGCCAAAGATGTGTTATTTTGTTTCTTAGATCTTTATTACAAGATCTGTTATTGTTAATGACATATGTTTCCTTAGAAGCAAATGTGGAAATGCAAAAGAGCTGCTTGCCTAGAGGAAGAGGTACAAAGGAACATTTAGAGAAAAATGCCTTTGTGCTCCTGTGTACAGTCTTGAAACAGCTGGGAGAACAGCAGTTGGGGATAAGGATATTGAGGGAGCAGAGGTAATGAGGACAGAGATTTTTCATTAAGACATTAACCCCCACATAAACTCCCAAGAAATAAATTATTACTTGGGCAGTAATAAGGTTTTAATCATTGTTTGCCTCCTAGAGTCACTGCATTGTTTGATGGGTTAAATTGCTTAAATACTGTGTGCGAGATGCACGTCCGTGAAGGGGTGTTGAGTTTTGGGAACTGTGGATTATTATACTGCACCTCAGTCAGATAACAAGGCAATGAACGCACGGAGCCTTACTCCCCCATAGGCAGCATGTGTGAATCTGCAGCCCACTCCCCTTGATTTTCCATCTAGCTTGCTAAGCCTCCAGCTTTCTTCTGTCTCCTGCCTGCTGCGTTTCCCTCCCCTGCGTTTTCAACAGCCGCAGATCACCTGCTTTGTATTCGGTCCCCCGCGTACCCTTTCGCTGTGGCGCTCTGTTCTTGCCTGCCAACCTTTTCTTAAGACACCGCTCACGTGAAATTTGTCGAGCTAACCGTGCCCAGTAACTCTAGCTTTGTTTCTCAACTCCAGGGTTACAGAATCCACAAAAAGTGATATGCTATCAGCTCAGTTGGAAAAAATCACTTGGTGGAAATCCCAGGAAACAAGCTGAGATTGGCGAAGTAGCTGTGTCTCAGACAGATAACCACGCAGAGGCTTGTTCCCCCTTGGCGTCAAGACAGGGGTCACTGCTTAGCAGGATTTTCCTCACAACGGGCATATTCAGAACTAATTTTTAGCTTGACATACTGGTTATCAGGCTTGCCATCTTTTCCCCTCTAGGGTTGGCACTTATTGTGGGATTCAGACACGAAAGTCATTTTTGCAACTGTTTGCAAACAGGTTTTGTCATGCGTTGAATTGATGTTTGCATCGCACTATGATAATAGGTACTGTTCAGTGTGACCCAGATCCAAGATGCAGGGCCCAGAGGGTGCATCTGTAGACATGCAGTTTGTAGGAAAGAGACTGATGCAGCATGAAAGGAACCTTATCATCAACCTTCTGATGATAAAGCGGTGCATCCCGGGGACCATGATAATTTTCAGTGTACAGTTAAATCTAAAATGTGTTGCTTATATATTAATAAGGAATATTCAGAGATAAAATCCCCCCCACTGCTTCTTTCTGATGTTCAGCATTTTTGTCATGCTCCCCAGGATGAACATCTCCATCCATATACACATCAAGGAAAGTGCATTTCTCTATTCTGTGTAACATTTAATATTCAGAAGTCTAAAGTGAAATGAGGGAATGCTGCTGGGAAGTTTTTAAAGAAATATTGCTGCCCAGTGATCTGCTTTTATTTCCAAATTAGGCTTTGCGGTTTGGGCTTGCCAGTTTCCATGGTTATATAAAAGAGTACTGTTAGATCATACTTTTGAGATCGAATTTCTAATTCCTTTGGAAACCAGATGAGAGGGTAGCTATGGCCACATTAGCAAATGCTACACATTTATTATGTGGTGCACTTACCACATAATCTCTTCCTTTTGTTGGTCCTGCATCTCCCGTCCTTTAGTAACTGTCTGAATTCTAGTATTACTATATTTCCATTCCACACCTCTTTATTTCCTTCAACTCACATTTACACATTAGGAAAGAATAAAAACATTTTATTAAAGCTAAAGAAAATTTATGCACAAACAAAAGTAAATTCTTTTTTTTAAATGTGCATTATGTTTAACATTGAAACAGTCTTTTTTTAAAAAAAGTAATAAATATAAAAATAAATTAACATTAACAAAGAAATATTAATATGAAAGAAGAATAATTGTCAAAAAGTCAAGAGTGCATTTAGGGGTGGGCAGCAGTTTGGAAGGATGAATAAATAACAAATGAGAAAACAAGAAGATGACTTGCAAAGAGTCGTCTGTGGACCATCCTTGGCAAACCATTTTTACGCTGAGACTTGAGCAGAGTCTATGTAAAGCCTCTTGGAAGTGCCAGGTTAGGTTCGTTAAATAGTAATGTAAGAGAAAAACTCTTCTGTGCCTGAATAGAAACGCAGATCAAGAACAGAATATCCAGCAGTTCCTGTTGTACTGCTATGATATTCTAAATGTGCACAGTCCTAATCAAATTAAAGCTAAAGCTTAGCTTCATACATAAGCTATAATTAACAGAGTTTTCCACTCTTAATGTTATGTTAAAGAAAAAGACATTAAGATGGGGGGGAGGGCACTTCTGAATGTGGAAAGGAGCAGGCTTTTGTTTTGCATCCCAGCAGTGGACCAATGATCGACGTTGCGTTAGTCAAGGGTTTTTGAGGCAGAATGGAGAAAGGAGATGAAAGAAGGGGTGGTGCAAACATTCAGCAGCCTGAGGGTCTTTCCAAGCGAGAATTAAGGCTGGAAGAGCTCTGCTCGGTGATACACCACTGGGAAATAAGGCACAGTCTGATGGCTTATCCTGGACGCTTCACGGAGTAGGGTGTGAAATCTCCAGCAGATAGATGAGAAGGCAGGCAATAAATATGGAGCTATGAAGCGCGGGGAAGGCAGGTGCTTAATTGTCAGCATCCTCGGTGAGAGAGGTCACTTTGATGCTCCACTTCAAGTATATACCAGGAAGGACGCTTGCTGGTGGTTCTAGAGTCATCAAGCGAAGTAGCAGAATAGGGCAGTAGAGCTACCGATGTTGGGTGGAATTTCTCCAGCTCAAATTGGGATGCCGACGGTGGTGACCTGCTCCTTCAATCCCAGGAGGCTGTAGGCAATACGCTTCTGGTGTCCCGGTAGACGCACTCCGATTCTCTTGATATCGCTGGTGATGCGAAGAACGGAGGAAAAGAATTAGTGGAAAACATTGCAACTTCAGAGACCTTAGGCTTTTTCTTTAAAGTACCCAGCGGCAATATATAAGGGTTCACTCGCTGCACGTTGCGGCCTCTGTGCGATGGAGTTGTCAACCCCCTTACAGTGATCCAAAGAGGCCAGAGAGCCAGCTGCATTTAATAAGCTGCTCTGGCTTTCCTAGCTGCGTAAAATGGCTTAATTATGGGGTAGGTCTTTGGAGCGTTCTCTCCCGGGGGACAGAGCAAATGGAATTTGCTGTGCTGCATGTTTCTGGCGGGAGTTCATAGTTTTACCCTCCTTTATTGTGAAAACATGAAATTCTCACACAGCTGTTCCTAAGTGGATTTTATAAAGAAAACACAATATAAACTCATCAGTGAAATAAACACAGATGGAAAAATGAAGCATGCAAATATGTAAAGTAATTTTCCAGGCTACATTCATGTGAACAAGAAAATGGTATTACGTCTCCCTGGAGTGGCTTTACTCAGAAAGGTGTCTTTTCCAGTGCCATTTACACACACCTTTTGCACAAAACTGCATTCTCTACTTGTTGCTAAAGATGAATGAAGGTGATTGACAGTAGAAGAGAGTGGTTTTCTGTCTCAAAAGGAAGGCAAAAGGATGTCCTTAGAAGGAGTCAAGTGGATGCTAATGTTTAGTCAATTGAGACACATCTTTTAAAGGAATAATATAAATTCTTCCTACCAAGTAGAACAGAGACTTCCAAAGAAACCCTAACACAGTAAGATGAGATAGCTGATGCCCCTGGCGTGTGGGTGAAAAGCTAAGTAATAGAAGGGACGCTGCTTAGGGCAAACGTGTGTCTGCAAAGCCACACTCACTCGTTGGTCATCTGCACCACCTTCTCAATGACATTATAGCCGGCAGCCGTGAAGTGCTCTGTATACTGGTGCATTTTGATGGACTCCAGCCACTCCGCCACAGTTCGGAAGGGAAGACCCTCTGAGCCACTGGTGCTTGGCAAGCGGATAGAGATCCTTTGAAGACAAAAAAGGGCCCACGGCTCTTTAGACTTAGGCCTTTTCTAAAATAGGGGAGGGGAGCGGGGGAAGTGAACAGGGTGGTCTCTTTCTTACAGGGCCTGCTTCTAGGCCAAAGGCCAGAGTAAAAAAGAAGCACAGAAAAAGGTTTCCAAACTGCACAAAATAGGTAAGGATTTGAGAACAAGACATACCGAGGGTCAAACTCTGCCAAGGTCTTGAGTGACTCAGGAGCACGGATCAGCTTGTCCAGGATGCTCACAATATCGTTGAATTTAGGTCGCTGACTTCTCTCTTGTTGCCAGCACCGCATCATTAGCTGGTAGATGGCAGAAGGACACTCCAGTGGTGCAGGAAGTCGAAAGCCCTCATTGATTGCTTTCATTACCTGTTTGGGAAGGAAAATAGCAGTTGCCAGTCTGGAGTAAACACCCGTCAGTGACCATCCGCAGACCAAAAGCCCTGTCGGGGATCGGCGAGCAAACCTGCAGCCTTCCCAAAGAAAAGAGCATGGGTGACTGTCTAGAAAAATGGATGGTCAGATAGAACTCACATCCCAAGAGTGAACATCATTGTGGGAACTGCAAAACCCATTCACCCGGCTAGGATAAAAAGGTTCACATTAACAAAGCTTATTAGCTTTCAGTCTTTGGATAGATAGGGTTGATCTGCAGAATGTTGTTTGCCTTTTTAAACCGAGGCTGTGTCCTCTAAAAATATGTATTTTCTCCATATTGTGCGTGGTTTTGATTTTTTGCATTAGTTTTATATCCTGTCTTTGAAGAAAAGTAATACTTAAGATAGATAACAAATAGAATACAGAATTAAAACACAACATTAACATAATTTACAAGAAAAGGCTGGGCGGACTAAAGATTTCTGCGCTGGGCAGAGGGTTGGACTAGAAGACCTCCCAGTGTCAGGTTCAGCCCAAGAACAGCAACGAGGTGATCCGGTACAGTTCAGTTCCTTGGAAACAAAAGGAGAAGACCCTTCTCTGTTCTCCTGACTGGGTGTGGGCGTCTCCCATCCACCAGCCAGAATGTCTTTAAATAGGCCTGTCAGCAGTTGTTGTTAAAAGGAGTCCAGGGCCAATGCAGGCTTAATCCTGCATCTGACCGGAGGATACCCAAGGGCCTACCTCGTGATTGGAGAGCTCCCAGTACGGCCGCTCACCGTAGGACATCACTTCCCAGGTGACAATTCCGTAGCTCCAGACGTCGCTGGCAGAGGTGAACTTGCGATGAGAGATGGCCTCGGGCGCTGTCCATCGGATGGGGATTTTTCCACCCTGAGTGGGAGGAAAAGCAAACCCACACATCAAAACCGCTGACGCTGGAAGCCACAAATCGCAGAGGAAAGCGTATCATCTTTATAAATAAATAAATAAATAAATAAGTGTCCTGTAGCTTCAAAGGTCTTTAACATTTTTGGTTTTCTAAATAATGTCCTTGCCCTTTTGGGCTCCTTGCTGGGTTCACGTATTGTACTGTGGCATACTTACTTTAATCACGATTTGCTAAATAAGGTATAGTGGCCTGGTTTTCATACAATGACAAGCCATAAACCTTGCTTTACAAACCACAGTGATTGAATTCAATCATCATGCTGAGCCAAAACCAAACAAATTATGGTTTAATGCAATATGTGAAGTGAAACGTGAGATAGAGAAGCAGGCAAGCTTTAGCTCTTTGGCAGATATTAATGAATAGAAATCAGTTCCAGGGTGGAGACTCGGCCAACTCCCAGCTATTTTACAAACCTGGGAAGAGAGGGGTTTCTTCATCCACCCATTTCCTAACATACTGGGCTCCCACTGGAGTATGTGGGATAAGACAAATTCATCTATTGACATCTCCCTCCTTCCTTTGTAGATCCCTCTATCCCCCTCCTTGTTTTCCAGATTGTTACTCCATTCAGGGACAGTTCCCTGGTGCTATCCCTAGCTCTAGGTATTTTGTTTCAGCCATTGTAATCTCCCCCTGTTCGCAGTTATCTCGGCAATTCTGGGTTGCAATCATGACTTAAGAGGCAAGGCAGTAGTCTGGGATCACTTACGCTGGTGGTATAAGTAGCATCAGGATCATCCTCCAGGACACGGGATAGACCAAAATCAGAGACTTTGCAGACCAGCTGGCTGTCCACGAGGATGTTGCGAGCAGCCAAATCCCGATGGACATAGTTCATGCTGGCCAAGTACTTCATTCCAGAAGCAATTCCCCTCAACATGCCCACCAACTGTATGACACAAAACTCCCCATCTTTTTCCTGTTGGAGCAAGAACGAAAGGATTCAGAGCCACCATATTTCCAGCTAAAATATTAGGAGGAGATTTTTAAGCAGAAGATGAAAATTCTGGCACAAACACCCAACCCTCTTCATTGTACCAGGAGCATTTTGAGAATTTGAAGTGGTTGATTCACAAGAGAGAAGGATCCTCTTTCAGCTCTTTTACTTTATAGGGGAGAAGAGGTCTGACAGGGGAAAGGAAGTATACCTACCCGTAGGAATTTATCCAGGGCGCCATTCTCCATGTATTCTGTGATGATCATGAAAGGCTTATCTGGAAAGAAAAGGAGATACTGGCTTGTTAAACCCAATCAATATCTAACCTACTGTAATTCCCCAGAATGCAGCCCAATGTCTTGGAGCTAGAAACCAAGAACAAGCAAGGATTCTATCTAGCACTTACATTTGGAGACAACTCCTTCCAAATGAATAATGTTGTGGTGACAGAATTGCCCCATGATGCTTGCCTCACTCAAAAAGTCAACACGTTGTTTTTCTGTGTAACCTGATTTCAGGGTCTTAATGGCCACAGGGATCTCCTTCTTGCCATTTTTCAGAACTCCTTTGTAAACTTCCCCAAATTCTCCTAGCAGAAGAAAAACAGAGGAGTTAAAAGAGTCTTTTCAAAGAATTCCTGATGGAATGGGACATTCCTTTTCTGAAGAAATATAACCTTTCTGAACAAATCAAAACTGTACTACGTGCATTTTCTTTACTGCTCCGTGTGAGATTATTGGAATCTATACCTGCTCCAATAACTTTCTGTCGGGAAATGCACGAAGGATGGATCTCAGGGGTGAACTTCAACAGCGCCTGATTGGGGTCTTCGTAGGTGTGCGGATCCACATAAGTCTTCAGGGGCTTGAGCTGATCTGTAGAGTAAAAGGATAAAAAACTGGAATAACATACAAAAGGAGCTCTTTGCTTTGATGTGGTTAGAAACTATGCCGTAAAGTCAGATCCATACCCGGCCTCTCTGTGGTCTACCTCTTACCAGTTGAATGGAAATAGCCAGGTGGGAACCAGTTTGGTGTCGTGGTTCAGGCATGAGGCTAGAAACTGGGAGACTGTGAGTTCTAGTCCCACCTAGGCACAAAGCCAGTTGGGTGACCTTGGGCCAGTCACTTTCTCTCAGCCCTAGGAAGGAGGCAATGGCAAACCACTTCCGAAAAACCTTGCCAAGAAAACTGCAGGGATTTGTCCAGGCAGTCTCTGAGAATTGGACATGACTGCATGGATTAAAAAAAAGCCAGGTGAACTTTGTTTTTAAAACCAAGAGCAAATGTTCATACTCGGGACCTAAACTGATTAGTGTATTTTGGATCCTTTCCATATTATGCAATATCCCAGCTTTGCTCAATTTTCCTAGTGCAGTAATATGATCAGTGACTAATACTCACCAGACTTGGAGAAGTAAACATCTTCTGATGTCTGCCGGGCCCGCAAATTCTTTTTCCTAAATGAAATTGAAGGGTTAACTGATAACTCCCGAAAGAGAGTACAATCTTCAACTCTTCCCATAGAGACACACACCTCCCAGTAGTTGGATTAAAGAAGCATGTTTTGTAGACTCCTCCTCCTCCTCCATCATAATTAAAACTTTTAAATTCAGAGACCAGTCCATTTTCTTCTACTGAATTTTGGGAGATGTTTATCAATCTCAGCTGCTTCACTGTTTCCTCTTCAGGTTCTCTCCTCTGCAGAAATGGTGTACTGTACCGTTTATTAATATATTTTCTTGCAGGTTTAAAAACCGGAGAAAACACATATCTCTGACTGAAAAACATGTTTCCTTCTAGTTTAATTTTTGATGGCAAACTCAAAAGATATGAAACTAATTGAGACACTTCCCCAAGCGCTAGATGTTGGTCATCTCAGATAGCTTGATAGAATTTTAGATTCCATGTGCTAATTCCTTCTTCCCCCAAGTTTCATGCCCCCTTAGCAGCTGAAGAAACTCCAGCAAGAAGGAAAGCTAGTCGTCTGGGAAGGACAGTTGCTGAAAAAAGAGGTTAGGGTGAGGAAACTAAAAGCACTTTGGAACAGCGTGCACACATCCCTCCCTCTTCTTTGTAGAGAAGATGTGTATTGTTTCTGTGAAACCTATTAGAGTGGAGGCAGCTGGACAACACAAATATGGGAAACGAGGCCATTTTCAGCTCTCTAAAATCACTCTTGTTTTAAAGAAACAGAATTTTAAAATAATACACAAACCTCTGTCGGATGAGCAGAAAAATTATCGCAACTATAACAAGCATGAAGATGAAGCCAGCAATGGAACCTCCGAGGACTGCTGCCGTATTCACGCCATCTGAATCTATGGAGAAAAGTGTGCGGGTGTGAAATATTAGTGTTTTCAAAAGACAAATTACCAGTGTTTGTGGTTCTCATACGATAACTCTGCCTCAATATTATCTTTATTTTGTCTGCCACCTTATTAATCCTAAGAGCTTCCTTCCCCTGCCCCCCCCAAAAAAACTCACGTTCAGGAAGGGTCTCAAACTCGTGCTCCACGCTGTGGGCCCCGTGACCATCCTGAGTTAGTGCCTGGACGCTCACCAAGTACTTGGTCTTAGGAGTGAGCTTATGGAGAGTGACCGAGTTTCCTTCAGAACGTAGGACCGAGTAGCTGTTTTCATCCTTCTGTAACAAAAACATCAAGCCTTGTGGCTCACTTTTTCTCTACAAAATATCAGCTCCAAAAGAAAGTTAAAAAGCGCAACGTTGGGAAAGAGCTATACCTTCTTCTTGTAAGTAACCTGGTATTTCCAAACATGGCTCTGTTGCCGAGGAGGGACGGTCCAAGATAAAGTTAAACTAGTAGCGGTGCGACTATCCATGGTGACTGAAGTTACTCTTGGTGGCTCTGAACAGTGGGGAAGAAGAAGAAGGGTTGAGCAAAACCTGCCTGCAGCCAGTTATGCTTTTCCTGGTGACGTAATCGCCCTTTCCTGAGATGATACGATCATATTAATTACCAACCCATCAATAACAATCAGTCCACGTTGGATTTACAAATACAGAAGCCGTTTGCTTTCTGTAGGGGACATCTTAGTTACCTTTGCAAGGTTAAAGTGACTACCACCAATGAGAAACCTTTCTCATTCCTATAGCCATGATCAGCATTTAGAGAGGAGCCACACGATCATGTCCATATAACTATCTCTGTAAGTGGCTTCGTTGATTTGGTTTTCTTTAGACCACTGTGTGTTAAAATGGAGGGGTTTGATGTATTACATGCTCTGTGATAACGTATGCGAGAGCAGAACCGGACTACCAAGTTCCAGCAGCGTCCCACCAAATGCCTTAATTCCACGAATGGGGCATGACGCGAGAGCCCTAGCCAGTATGCCTCTTACTGTAGATTACGCTGCTTCCATGGGATCGCGATACCGAAGACCCTCACCTGTTTGGTTGACACTGATGCTAGTGACTCCGTAGCTGCGCTGTGTACTGAAGGAGGATACTCCATTCTGAGCTTCCACTGTGAAAGTGTAGTTAACGTGCGGCTCCAGGTCACTGACGGTCAAAGAAGTGCCGGTGAGCCGGTGTGGATTATCTGAATACCGGAGAGTGGCGTCACAAGGGCGGCACTCCCCTGATTCTGGCCAGCATTGCTCGCATGACACGCTGTAGGTGACGTCTTGGCGGCCTCCCGTGTTCTGGGGTGGGGACCAGCGCAACTGGACTTTGGCACCCAGGCCGATTGCCCTCACTCCGTGAGGCGCAGAGGGGGGCTCTGTCAAACAGAAAACCAAAAGAATAATTGAGAAGATTATTATTTAAACCACCCATTTAACAGATTAACTCCACGTTTGCCCTTGGTGCCCATTGTATATCCCTCTGCCCTTTATCTCCTTTTTTTGGTCTTTGGCCTTTCCTACATCTTTCATTCTGCGTTTGCTCCTTCCTTTCGTCCTTTGATGGATATGGACAGAGCAAAATTGCAGGAGCCCATCCAAGTTTTCTGATTCCAGCGTTAAGGTGCAATCACCTGAATGGGCATTCCCCCCTCTTCCCAGATCTGGAACACTCAAACCCTCTGGATCATCTAACGCTTTCTCAGCAACTTCAGTTTGGGAAAGGGGTCAAATAATGATCCTTCCTAGGATTACCATTCCCAGCGCCATTCTGTTTCTCACTTACTGGTGCATGACATGGAAACTGGATCGCTTGGAGCCCGAAAATAGCCTTTGTCACAAGGACACAAAAGGGAGCCTTCCGAAGAAGGCAGGGTGTGCGAGGGACACTTGGAGCAGGCGCTGTTGGAGATGTCTTGTTTAAAGAATCCAGGCGAGCAGGCTGCAAAGAAAACAACACACACATTCATTGGCTCTCTTGGCCTTTGTCACTACAATTCAAGGTAGCGTTGGCCAGTGAATGTCGCCAGTCAGAATCAGCCACAGTCAAAATATTGACAGGGATGATGAACCTCTAAAATTGGAATGAATGTATTACGAGTACCGATATAAAGGCAAGTCCAACCAAGTTCACCAAGATGCTTTCCAAGTTAAGCACTACTTGAAGGGAAAGACACTGATTTTTGAAAACGCAGCTTCATCTTGAAAAAAGGAGAGAAGATAGGCGCACTCTTTGGAATCGTAGCTCTCCTGCCACATTTCAAGGAAAACTAAAAACGAACCAAGTATCCCAGCTGAAGTGTGTTCAGATCAGCACGTCTGTCTGCTGCCATTTTAGTGTTACAGCATATCTTGCTGACGTGCACACACTTTGAATGTACAGCATTGTTGTAATTATGTTGGAAGGTCTGGGCTGCAGAGAAAAGTACCATCCTGCTTCAGAGTATTCGTATTTACTTCCTGGACAAGTAAAGCCTTCCACTGGAAACAGACTTGTTCTCTGATGTCCTGTGAACTGAGTCACTTCCGCTGAGAATGAGCAGAGGAAGAGGTTTCGGAAGCCCCCAGTTCTCGTTGAGCATCTCCCTTGCCAGCAACAGCCTCTGGCCATCAGTGGCATCAGGGCAGCGGTCATGGAGCAGGGAGAAATTCCATTCTGCTTGAGACACAGTGAAAATAATTTTCAAGTGAACCTTCTCAAGCACGTCCTGCCCCCTCAGTAGTGGCAATAATTTATCTTTCGTGCCTCCTGTCTCTTTCTAAGAAGCGTGGGCAATCTGATGGAGGGGGTGCAGTTTGTCTTAGGTTCCAACTAAACCGAATGCTGAGTGGTGCGAAGAAAAGACATAAATAGGCTCCCCGGGAAGGTTTTTACTGGAAGGTATCCTTGGGCTATTGTCGGATGGCTGTACCACTCCTTACATCCTGGGGGATTGGACTGGAGGAGGAATTGCCAGGGGAATATAGTTGGTAGGGAAACCCCTTCACGATAGACGCTGCTCTAGCCCCAAGGACCCCCAGATTCAAGTCACTGAGTGGCTTTGGGGCAGTTCGGCATACAGTAGCTCACCTATTTGTTGTGAGATTAAAGTGAGTAGAAGGACAAAAAATAGCGTCGCTCGCTGAGGTCCCAGATAAGATGCTACATGCCCTTTGAAAAATAATCTTCTTGAACTCGGCAGATTTAATATTTTAAACCTCCTCTGAGTTTCTAAACTTCTGCCCAGACTGAAACTTTATTACCGTATAGAGATTAAATCTAACAAGCAAACAATAGAGATTACACGTTAAATCAAAAAGACAGTCTGGGTTTCGAAAGCGGTCTCTCCAGAAACAGCATTGCCACTCCAACCTCCAGTCTGCATTTTGTGTGTGGTCTCTTTTAGCACATGGAGAAACAAAGACGAGGCAGTAAACCTGCCACAGGGAGGGGTGGGCGGGTGCCCAGAGCAGTTCCTCGGGGAGGGGGGAAGAGTGTGCGTCGGATGTGGAATATGGGGTTTCCTGCAGAAAGCAATGCGGAGGGTGGCTCATGCAGTGTTCATGTTACCAAGACCTTGGAATTCTTGTTTTTTATATACGTTATAACTGTTTGCCTCTTATTATGTCCTTCACCCCAAAACAGAAATTTAGGCAGCTCCCATTGAAATGGGCTTTAGATGGGACAATGGGAAGCTTAAACAAGCAGCTTCTCAGAGAACGGCCAGAGAGTATGTCCATCATGCGATTTTCAGTACGGTAAATTGTCGTATGTAGGCTCAGACCCTCGGGTAGCTCCTTCAGCGTTCATCTAGATTGACTTGTAGTTCTTCTTCATGCCGTTCCATTTCATGAATTTAGGAGTACCTTCATGCAAATTACACGCTCTGTTACTAAACTAAATCTACACACTTATTTTATGATTGGGCTGTCTTAGTGCAGTAGTTGAAGAGCTGGTCTTCTAGTATATTTCAATTTTAGCTGGTCTTCTAGTATATTTTAGGGGTTTTTTTTTAAGTAAAAATGATCCACTGGCAACGGTTATTTTATCAGAGACGGTTCAGTAGAGCAATCAGGAAAATAGGTGCTGTAAGGAGAGTAGCATACAGGGGTAATTTACCGGGATTCGTGGCAAGCGCAGCGGAGATACAGAGGATACAGCCCCTACGTGCGCCTGTGGCGTATACTGTGATCAGGAACGCAAAGGGGGGGGGGCTTTTCCATAGGCGCTGCGGCCACAGATTGGCCAGAGGACCTGGCTTGCCTGCACTTGCGCAGCGATGGGAAGGAACATGCCACCGGGCGAAGCATTCCGTGCGCATCTTAGAACTGGAACAATACCCCCCACCCCAGATAAACAGAGCCCTCCTCGGCAAAGGCTTGTTTCTGTGCCTCGGGGCAAAAGGGGCCATGTGCAATTAGCAGGCGTGTTGAGGCTCTGCCTTGGGCTCCGCAGGCAGGTGTGTCACCAGCTGCTTCCCTGGTATTAACGGGGAGTGGTGGTTGTAATGGGTAGTCAGGATGCCGCTTAGGCGAGTGTGACCTTCCGCGTGGTCCGTGGGGTCCTCCAGACGTACAGAGTTCCTAAGACTCTTGCTCAGAATGGGAGCCGTTTTTGGAAAACTCCATCCTTGATTGGTTGGCGTTCTCTTAAGTTACATCTTCGCATGAAAGAGGGAAATTCATGCAACACCAATCAGAGGATTAACGTTTCCCTTGCATTGATTATTCTCCTAATGCTGCTACATGACCTCACAGAGGGGGCTCAGAGCTGAAATGCAGTTAGACAATTTTAATTTCTGTATTAAATTAGCATGTAGGTAGAATTACCAGATGCGGGCTACAAACATCTGGATGACCGCGTGATAGCAGCAGATCGATGACGAAAGCTCTGCCTGCATCTGCGCCCAGACCTTGTAGGCGTAGCATAGGTAAACGCAACGCTTCTGAAATTAGTATGTCACGGCAGCAAGTGTAATCTCTGAAGAGGCATTCTTCCTGAATGCTCTCTTAATTTGGTGTTTACTCCTTGCATTTTTAAGCAGTACTGCATTAATAGTGCTAAAAATAAGTTGCCTACTTAATTGGAAGGTGAGACTGTTTTAACTGATGACATGCTGCAGTGCTACTAGAAGTATACATGTAAAGCCTCAAGAGCTGGGATTTTAGGTGCTGCATGCACGCACGCACGCACACACGCCGGTGTGTCCAGTGCATCTCTGTGTGCATTGGTAGGCCGGTGGGCCGTTTTAAGCCCTGTCCTTCTAGAGATCATGCCACTCGGTCCTAAGCAAACCTGTGCTGCCCTTAGGCTTTATGCAGAGGTGTGGCGAGATGGAAGGTGTGCCAGCCTGTTAGGGTGAGAGGCGAGCGATGGGGGAATATCCCCTAAAGAATTCTGTTTGCAAGAGGAAGCTCAATGCAGTGCCAAGGAATAACCCCGCCACTCCTGACATTTATCTTACTGAAGGTCCAAGCAGAGAAGAGTGAGGGAGGGAGTGTGGGGACGGCTGGTGGCAGTGGAAAAGCTGGCAGCAGGAGGTAAAAAAGAGCGGGTGCTTTACACAGGAAGCCAAGAATATCTGTGTTTATTCCTGAAGATAAACTGCCTTTGTTTCCTGCCCAGGGGCCTCCCTTTTCTGGAGGCCAGAGGGATGGGAGGTCAGAGGCTCTTTACACAAAAGGGCAAACTCCTTTTTCCACCCCTCTTCTGCTAGAAGGAGCAGCTGCATCTCTTTTCATGCTAGAGAGGGAGGACAGAACCAGCCCAACAACAGCACGGCCGCCTACGCATAAAATGCAGCCTGCGTTAGCCGGCAGAGTACCTGGCGAGAATCAACTCAGGGTCTTCCCCAGTCTCATTTGGCGGCTCTGAGAAACTGAAGTGCTGTTCTTAGCACTGCACCGGAGAAGCCGGGGAGTCTCTGCTGGAAGAGTGGGTTCGTGCCACGGATCGGAGGGGGAGCGGAAGGACGCTCCGGGTCCTTCAGGCCCACTTCCCAGAGGGGCAGAAGCGCACCGCAGTTGCCCTTGATTTTGATCCCTCTCATTCGGTGGCGTGCGGAGTTGTAGTTACTCCGTAGTGATGGGGGGAGGCTCAGTTGAGGCATAGCTTATTGAGCCACGGGGCGCAGAATGGTCTTTGGAAGAGGCAAGGCCAGCAGCGTCCGTGCGGTCACCTGCCTCCATCCAGCCACTTTGGCTGCTGCCTCAGCAGAAAAGGAGATGCTGCAGGATACTGTTCGATGCTTGCAGAAGCCTCGCTGTGGGTGAGGGTTGCGCTTCACGCATCCCGTTCAAAATGGGGTTATGGATAGGGCGGAGGTCCAGACCAGACTGGTAGTAGGTAGGAGGCACATTTACTGCTAGGTGTCTAACTTCATGAGGGCGCAGCTTCGTGAAGTTGTGCTACAAGCGGAACGCTGTTGTCTGTAGTAGACGGTTCTCTCCCTTCTATCCAAAGGCACCTCTGGTAAGTAGCCCGTTGCAGTCGGCTGCTTGGTCGGGCTGCTGGGAAGCCACGGAAGCCACAGTCCAGCACGACTGGAGGGCACCAAGTTGCAACAAGGCTGGCCTAAAAAAACAGGACAGCCGTTCTGCATTTGGCCCCCGATAACTTGGGGACTGGTGGCAGGCGAGAGGGAAACGCGATAATAGCTTATCGGGTAAGCCTGATAGCGAAGGAAAAAAAGAGGGAGAGGGTGTCAGGAAGGACGGGTGTTCAAGAGGCCTGTATTACTCCATAACCTTGAGAGCCTCTTATCTCCCTCTGCAAAATCCAGGCACATTCCTGAGGCAAAACCTCCTTACCTCAGCTTCCTTGTGCTCTAACACACACCTCCTCCTCCCTACTTACTGTCTAGCTTCCCTTTATATAAAATGCTTGCTATCTTTTGCAAATACTGCTGGTATCTGGAACATTCTGTCTGTCGAACGTATGCCCAGCCACCCGTCGTGACATCAGCTGGCTTTATCGGGCCACATGATTAAATCCTGACCTGACCGAGATCGGCTCTACCCACTTGAAATGCAGGAGGCGGTGCAGAGGGGAACTGCCTGGCGTCCGTACAGCACCTGGCACCCAGCAGTAGCTTCTGAAGCAGAGGAGAGCCCGTTCTGTGCAGAAGGCCTCGCCGGCTCTGCCAGGTGCCTGCAGCACCCGAGGTCTCCCTGCCCGGCTGCTCTTGTCAAGCAGGAACTGAGCCAGAGACGGCACGCCCGAGCTAGGAGACAGAGGGCGTCTCTCGAGGGCTCAGAGGGGAGGAACTGGCTGGTCATCTAGGGCTTCCTGCAGGGCTGGCAGAAAGGCAAGCAAAAACACACCTGCTCCATCTCCCAAACCTCGGGAGTGGCTGCCGGGGAGCCCCAGACTTCCTTTCCCGCGAGGGATCCAGCTGCTGCGCCGGAAGGGGTCCTGGCGATCCGTCGCGGGGCCAGGCCTTGCCCTTGGTCCCGTGACTTCCCCACAGGAGGTGCAAAGCCAAGGGGCCGTTGCGCATCCCCCTCCTCTGCTTGGGGTGGCAGATTCCTTCCTCCTTGCGCGACTGTAACATTCTTTGATCCATCCCAGACTGTGGGATGAGGGGCTGAGTTAAGGGCCTGCAGGATCGGCGGCTTAAAGAGGGAAAAGCCAGGGTGTGCAGCCACCGCTGAGCCCGGTCCTTTCCGCGCGCATTCGTTCTTCCTCCCTCTGCTCAGCCTTGGCCCCAGCAGAATTGAAAAAGGGATAGGAGGGCCCTGCTTCCCTTGGCTTGTCGCTGCCAGTGTGAACCTGCACCTTGCTTAACGTTCACAGAAACCAGAACTGGCGTTTCTGTTCCTTCACCTTTCAAAACGCCAGCTTACTCAGTGCTCAGCAGGCAAGAAATTCAATAAATGAATTAGGACCAGGTCAGCGCTTACTTACCTCGGCAGCTGTTCCCGTCTTTTTCATATCCTTCTCGGCAGAGGCACTCGCCAATGGGCACCAGCCACTCTCCGTCCGAATTGCAGTGCATGAAGGGCTCCTCGGGGGCCACAGCTTCCGAGACACAGATGCCAGGCACCTTGGCCAGGGTCTGCGAATCGGCACCAGCGATGGTTTCTGGGAAGCTGGCCATATTGCGGAAGACTCCGGGGCACTTCTTGTAGTAGATTCGGACCGAGAGGAGCGCCACGCACGCCCCAATGTCCTGGAAAGCCAGGTAGAAGCCTTTGCGGGTAAGGGGCCCTATTGAGCGCACCTCAACGTTGATCTTCACGTTGCGGGTGCTGAAGTCTTCGAGCACAGTGATCTCATCGGGAGCAATCGTGTCAATCTTGTGGAACTGGCGCTTTTGGAAATTGATGCCGTAATCCACATCCGACTCCGCGTAGAAGAGGTTGAACGTTTCCTTGCAAGTGCCGGTCCCGGTGGAGAAGGTGTTGCAGTCCCGGACGGTGAATTTTATTTCAACGAAGATACGCTGGGCTTCCCCACGGTAGATCCAGTTGGTCCGCAGCCAGTTATCCTGGTCGCCCTCCATCACGTTGCAGACGGAATAGATGTAGATAAGGGACTCGTTCATGACGTTCTGGAGAAGGTCCCACTGGTGGAGGGAGGAAAAAACCATAAAGGAATTGTTTTTCCAAAACGGTACATTCTAGTAAAATCAGAACAGAAAAATGGCCAAATCCATCTAATCTTATCACGTTTTCAATTATGGCTACGTGGTTGCTTACCAAAAATTATGAAGGGTGTAGGTGCTATTTTAAGACTATAGACACGCTGCCTTTGGCCATGATAGTTTTATTTAGTTCCCAGAACTACTTTCCAGTGGCCAGTTTGGCCTCTTATCCATTTGTCCATCCTTTCAAGAACCAATGAGGTTAGTAGTTTCCTGTAAGTGTGCTGTTTAATCCGACGCAGAAGTTGTTTTTTAAAATCATCTTCTCCAGGCGAATGCTGCTCTGAATCTAGAAACTGTGATGGAAGGAGTACTTCCGCCTGGATCTCTGATGGAAATTACTCCCACAACAGTATGAAAGTGAAAGAAGACTGATATTTAAAGCAAAGCTTGTTGTGTTTTCCCTTAAAGGGAATGTTCAAGCTCACATATCGAGTTAGCGTTGAAAGTTCACTTCAACCATTTTTCTAAACCAGGAGTAATTTTGCAAGAAAGAACCTGAACTTACCCCTTTTCCATAGGGATGATTGAGCCATCCAAGGTCCCCCTGTGCCTTGGCAAAATCCAGCAGGACAACTAGAAGAGAAAGGACACGTATGGAAAAAGGTGTCTTTTGCCCAGCGCCACCCAATCCCACTAAGCACTCCATCCTGTGGCAAAACAACCCATAAACCGTAGTAAGAGTTCAGGAGAGGGAAAGACGGTTCCCAGCTGAGCCCTCACTGAACAGCTGCGGCTTTCCTCCGCCACAGCAGGCAGCTGAGGAAAAAGAACGATGGGCAGTAATAGCAGAAGCTGCATCTACTATTAGGCCATAACATGTCACGTTTCCTTGCCCTGAGAAGAGGAGCTAGGTACGAAATGAGGAAGGAAGGGGGAAAAGCTGGAATGAGAATGGCTTGGATAGGAGGGGAAGGCAAGGAACCCCCATTTTATGAACCACCCTAGAATCTCCAGATGTCTATTAAGTCAAAAGAATTAAATGCCATTTGCTCTTCCAAACAGATGCCACTTAATTATTAAGGGAGACTGGTGCTATGCCAGTTGTTGCTCACTGAAGTAGAGAACTCTCCATGTGGGAAAAGGCCAGTTTTCTGCTGAAGCCACTTAATTCTATGCATGTGTCTTTCTCCCTGATCCTATGGATATCAAATCTGGGGATTGCCTATCCAGAAGCCAAAGGCAGGATTTATAATACCAGCCGACTCCTTGACTTTGGAGGCCTGCCTTAACTGGATTCATGTTCACGCCTGCCGAACGTAGGTGTTGAGGAGCACGAGCAGGAGCAGCTTGAGCCAGACCCAGGTGCTCGCAACTCCCTGTGGTGTTTGCAGAAGCCAACTTTGCCCCAGGGCACCCAAACAGAACTGAACAAAACCGGGCAAGTTGAAGGGGTTTCTTAATCTCCTGGTGGCTGCTGTGGCATCCTTACTTGAACAGTTATGCTAACCACCCAACAGTTTAAGTTGGTGAAATGGATAGAGGAGGGCCGGCAAAAGCGAATCCTGCAGGAAGGAGGGAAGAAGGCCTGGCAGATTTAGCAAACCTGTTGGGTATAAAATCAGCAACAGTGCCGGATTAGGAATTGCTGGCATTCCGCCATGCAGCCCGGGTCATATAAGGGAGGCACACTGGGAAGATCCTGGAAGCAGCTTCGGTGCCTGGAGAATGAGATTCCATCGTCTCTGCCAGGACGAAGCGGGGACAGGACTCTCCCGCGTTTCCCCTCTGAGCTCTGGGTTTGCAAAAAAGGGATGGCTTATGGAGAAGACCAGTGTTTGGAACTATTTCTAGTTGTTTTTCAGCTATGATCAGAGTTTCCAGAATGTCCTACATCTATTTCTTTTTAAAACATACTCTGGTCCGAAATATCCTGTATGTCACTCACACCTGTACACACACAACATATTAGCAGTCTCCTTCTTCCCTTGTGGGGTTCCCTTCCCTTCGCCGGGTGTCCTCCGGGCCACTGAGCCAGCAGGGATCATTTCCACCAGTGCTGGAGCATCAGTCGCAGGATGTTCTCAGCTGGAGGAAGGGCTCGTGGAGTTTTTAATTTCTGCAGGCGGGAGCGTCCCTAACCTCCAGCATTCTCCTCAAGCAGAAGACGCTGCCTTCTAGGGAGCGTGTTTATGAGACGCCGTGTGGCATCGGACCGAGTGCCACTTGCTCCAGCCCCGTGTTCGCTCAGTGGCTATCCCGACATCCCGGTGGGCACCCCATTAGCCAGGAACAAGAGCACGTTCCCCTTCACGGTGTCCAGAAACCAGTGCGCTAAGGCCCACGGCCCGCGATTCTTACAGTAGGACCTAGCCGTAGTTACCCATAGCCGTGAAAACCTCCGCCAATGTATTTAATCCCATTTTAAAGCTGTCCAAGACGGTAGCCACCTGCGCATCTTGTGGTAGCAAATTCCACACAGTGCCACATGAAGAAATTCTTTTTTGATCTGTCTGGAGTCGTGCCACGTTTGGGTTCGTGGGTGGGCCTCTTTGGCTGCCCGTGTGCTGGTCGCCTCCTTCTGCCTGAGAGGCTTTAGCTGAGATGCTTCCAGGGAGCGAAGTAAGCAGATGCTCTGCGTAACGTTGACCTCCTCAGCATGCAGCTGCTTAACTCTTCTGACTGCCTCTGCGCTTTCTGCCAGGGCTCTGTCCGCTAATACGCGACCGCCTGTATGACACCAGTCTCGGAAAGAGATGCTGTGGGCTCCCCTCCTTACCTGGCAGATCTATTCAGGATCTGCTGTGTTTGCCATTCACTCTCCAGAGATCCTTTCCTCCCACTAATCTCTTCCAGACAAATGTATTGGATAGCACAACAAGATTCAGTTGCCAAATTGCTGAAGGTTTCACTTAAGTCACATCTGAGCCCAGAAAGCGAGACCTGGCAGTCTCAGATGGAGGGCAGAAACTTGTGTATGGGGGCCGAGGATGGTGCTTGCTTGTTCCCACCTGGGGCTCCTTCAGAGTTCTTAAATTTCACAGAAAACTCCTTTTCTTGGGTGTGCAATTTCTTGACCTCAGCTGCCTTATTCCTTTCATTCTAGGGCAATCTTAGGTTACCCTGCTAATTCATAAAACAAGAAGAAATATTGCATGTCCAACTTCCCCAGAAGAAGCCCCAAAACACAACCAGCTCTGTTGTCTGCAGAGCCAGAGGGGTGACCTGCCCAGGGTTAACGTGCAGAATGCGCTCTTGCTGTGCTTTAACGTCTTTGTGGTCCCAAGATTAAATGAGCGTGGCTTCTTGAATATTTCATCGACAGGTAGAAGGGGATGCGAAGTAAGTTTTGTGGCGGCTGCTCTATCCCCTTAGAAACACTCCCCGGCTCCACTCTTCCAAGATTCAGTGCAAAGTCCGAGCCCCATAATTTCAGGGCGTGCCACAAGACTCTTTTCCCCTCTCAGTCTGGGCTCCTGGCAGCAGAGGGTGTCCTTTTGAGAGCCAAAGGCTGTTTAGTTCTGGCTGGTCGCCATGTTATCTTGATATGTGTCATTTCTGAATTCTTGCATTTTGCCCCAAGAAACGAGAGAGTCTTGGAGAGACAGAAAGATGACTAAGTGAATTGCCAGGGAGGGTTTGCGTGCTTTAAAGCCTTACCCGCATTACAGCCTGCCAAGAGGATTCTTCCTCGGCTTAAAAAATGCTGCTGCACAAAAGGGACACCGCGCAGCAGGTGAATATCTGACTGCAGTATTTATTTCTGCCGGTGTTCTGGCCCAGTCCTCCTTATAGGGTCCTCTCGGTTTCTCTCCAAAAGCTAAAACAACGTAAGCTGTAGAGGTTCTCGTATTCCTGCTGCCCTCACAGCCTGTGTGGCATGCTGCATTTTCAACTACATCTCCATTCCTACTTGAGAGACGTTACTGGCTCCGTTACGCCTCCGGAAACTCCTTACACAACCTGCCTTGCAGGACCTCCGCTTCCCCAGGTAGGGCTCACCTGCAGTCATTCATTTCTGCAAGAACTGTCGAGAGATTTAAGGTGCCCTGAGTCCGGTCCCGTGTTCGTGGCGACACTTCTCCCCCCAAACGGGAGCGGTAAGTTAGCCACCTTGGGGCCCGGGTGGCTTGACGTACAGCCTCAGCGGCCCTCCAGAGGAATTATAGCACCAAAAAGGCTTTTTACACCCCCTGCCCCCCCCACATTAACCTTCACTTCTGGATTATCTGCATGACTGGCACAATGGTGTACAATCCCATCTTCCTTTTTTGCTGTACATTCTTCCAAGAAGAGATGACATGGGCCAGGGGGCATTTCCTTAACTCCTTTGTGAGGAGGGGGCACGTTCTTCCTAAAAGCTGCTCGGCCCCCTTTTCCAAGGCTCACTTCAGCTGTAGAGGAGCCCTGCTGGCATCTGGAGTCCAGTCTCCATCAGAGGCCAGGTTCTAGCCAGATGCCCTTCTCTTCCTGTATGCAGAAGTAGACTGCTTCCAGACGTGTCTACCTGCCAGCCTCACTACGTACACCAGAGCAGGAGATCAGCTCCGCAGGAAAGCTAAAACTCCTTTTGTTGAGATTGGATAGAATAACCGAATCTTGCGAGTCTGATTGTGCTGGACCTCCTCCTCCTCCTCCTCCTCCTCCTAGTCCAGCGAATTAGGGAGGCGTCTCGTTGTTCGGGGGATAAAAAATGTTTCAGCCCCTTTTGCCTAGGAAAGGATTCCTGCCGACAGTATTTCCATCAAGGCCATCTTCCTCACGGCCACACTGTCGTTCTCGATCCGTAGTCGGTGCGAACGGCCGCTAAGGTGAGACCCGCTTTGCTGGGTCAGACCAAAAGCTCCTCTCGGGCACTGCGTATCTAGAGAGCTAACTCTGGCTTGCAAGCCTGCTCTAAATGCAAGAGGTGTCTTTCGGAATTAGCTTTCAGCCTAATTGCCCTGACAGAATGATCCTCAAAATCACGATCATCACATAAAAAAGACACGCCAGGATTTTGCACGAAACCACCCCAGCTGTTTGATTTATAACCTTTCTTCCACTGGATGCAGGCTAGAGTGTGTCATTCTCCTTTTTTATCTTCCCAGTAACCGGGGTGGGGTGGGGTGGGGTGGGGAGACTCGGAGAGAAAGCAGACCCAGTGAGCTTTGCGATGAGCTGTGGGTCCAACCTGCTCCTCTGACTCTTGCCCTTCGTGTAGCTGCATCAGGTTGGTTGCAGTTCCTGACCGTTGTAGATCGGGAGAGGGGCCTAAGAAACCACAGCCCCTCTTCAGCTGCTGTCAAGAGAGGGGGGCAGAGTGGCTTCTCCCCCCAGGAAACCCATTCCCGTCCCCGCTGCCTCTCTCCCCATCCTCCAAGCCTTCCCTGGACCCGTCTCCTCCCATAGCATTTGTAAGCAACATCTGGAACCGCTTTTCTTTCCCACCAATTTCCAGAGTTAATTTTAAACCTTACCCTCTTCCCTTTACAGTGCACAGGCTTTTTTACTGCCTGTTTTTCAGTCCCGTGGAAAGCCGGGGGCGGGGGGAAGCCCACAGCTCTGCGCATGGCTGAGGAACCGCGGCTGGGCGTGTGGCTCACGGGAATCCGCCAGCCGGGAGCCCTGGAACGGATTGCGGCCCAGCCTGACAGCAGCAAAACCTCAAATCAAAGTTCTGGCTTAAAAAACCTCTGAATTTGCATGATTTGAATCTCCTCCTGACGAAACACGATGAGGTGCCCTAAGAGAGGGTACTGCTGAGCAAAAAAGCCAGTTTTCCTCCCAAGAAGCCACCGGGAGCCCCGCGTGCGCGCGCTCCTGGTACGGGTTTGACTTTAGGCCTCCTCGGCAGCTCTCATCGGACAAATTGAACCGAGATCCCTGCTTGAAGCTCTTGGCACCCATTACCTTAGTTTCCAAATTGTCGGGACTCAAATACAAACCACAAGGGATCACGAAGACTTATTTTAAAAAGAAAGAAAGCCCTTGGAGGAGTTTCAGGATTTTTCAGTAGAACATGGAAAATGTCTGTGTCTGTGCAGAAACACTTTCTCCTGGCCACGGACGGCCACAACGCTAAAGCAAGCTAGCGAGTCCCAGGGCGAGAAGCACCAAAGCATGTTACGATGTGGGCCTCGGGCTTAGCCCCTGCCCTGCGTCTTTTTGAGCAAGAGCAGTGCCCAGGTTTGCTCTCCTGGGCGAGCAGGCGGGCAATGTTTGTTTGTTTGTGAAAGTATCTGACTGTCTGAAACCGACTGGACTGGGTGGCTTATAGAATTACATGATAAAAAGGAAGCGACAAAGACCATAAGCATGATTAAAACTCAGAGCAACTCGGAGTAAGAGGCTGAAATCAGAGACTTGTTTTCAAACAAGCATTGCTCAGTACAGTCAATCCTCAGAGGCCTCTGGAAGAACCACAATTTTGCCGTGAGGGTGGGGAAATCTGTACTTCCAGTGGCCAGAGGAGCGGAGCCGCCGTGGCCACCGTCTCCCGTCGGCCCCCTCACCCCGCAGGTGGGGACCCTCGGCCCTTCATCTGCTGTAGGCCTGACATGGTTTAGAAGGGGGAGAAAAGTCCAGAGGCCGCGAGGGAAAAGGGGCAGGCAGGCAGTCAGAGTCATTAAAAATCAAACCAATGAACCAACAGAATGCAGCTCTTGTATGAAGCTGCACAACCAAGACGTAAAAATTGACGCACCCGCTTCAAAGGTCCCGCTGACGGTTCCACCTGACTAGGACGCAAACGGCGGCCATTAAGCCTTTAGATTGGAAGCCAAGTTGTTTTGGGCAAACTGGAGGAAAAAGGATCGCCGCAATCCTAACGTGACTGTGGATCACCACCCGGGGATTTGACCCAGAGGAGGAGGAGGAAGGCTCAGGACGAGGGAACTGTGAAGAATGATCTGTGCACCACCATCACCAGGGTTTCAAGATGTGGTTTTGGAAGAGCAAACGCATGAGGCCCGCTCTGCAATTGTAGCATCGGAATCGGAGACAGTCCACAATTTGGAGAGCTGGGCTTGAAAGCCGGGCTGGAGGGGAACTGCTTACTGGACAGATCTCTCCTGGTCTCCCCCTCCCCCCCATAATTAGAGCCCAGACGGCCATCCCTGCCTCTTCATTAACATTCCTGCCTTTTCTTGCAAGCCAAACATTTCAGATTTGAGGTTTGGAAGACGTTGCCCTGTGTTGTGTGTGTGTGCGCGCGTGTGCGCGCCTGGGGGGAGTTCTTGTAGGGCAGGCTTGACTCAGTCTAGCAAAAGTAGCAGCCGCCGCCGCCGCAGCCTGGCCGCTCCCATTGCCAGACAGGCTACTCCAGTCCCTCTCCAGATGCTTACAGAAAAGCTGAGGGTAGTGCCAAAGGAAGGGAGGCAGGGCTCGGCCCTCTTGCTGTCTTTCGGGGACCAGGGGCAGCTCTTCACCCAAACCGTCCGACCCCTGCACTTCCTGGGCAGCAGAGCTCCCACCCAGAGGAGCCGGGGCTTAGCCCAAGGCTGCCTTTCCCCTCGCTGTGCTGGAGTGGTGGAGCTGAGGGAAGAGACGGGGCCGTGCTGGTGGGAGGAAGACCCCGACTGCCGGGGAAAGGCCCGAGTTAGAAGAGGCTTGTTGTCAGAGACCCACAGCATTCCAAGGCTTGGGGTTTATCTTTGCAGGTGCGAGACCCACACCGCGCTGCACTCCTTTGTCCCGATTTGGGGAGAGTTGCTTATTGTGACCAGGAACACTTTAATAGCATCTCTGGTTTGATTAACGTATTGGAATAATCTCACAACTTTTAGAGATGAGGGGAAAGGCTCCAGGTTAAATCCTAGCTTTCGGGACATAATGTAATACTTCCAAGGACATGTCTAGACTTGCTCAGCGGAAGGGTTGCCCTCGGAGGCTGTGGTTTTTTCCCTCCTTCCTGGTAGCCTATCGTAATGCTAGGCACGGGAGACTTGGCCAAGTGGAAGATGGCCTGTCAGGGGCTAACTCAGAAGTGACATTTTGAGTGTTCTGCTTTCAGGATGTTCTAGCCTTCCAACATGATTCAGGAGGTAGCTCCTGAGCGCTAAACTCAGAAGGGGTTGATATTTCAACTGACCAGGTCCCACGTCCTGTACTGCCAAGTGTGCAAAAGCAGTGTATCCAAAGAAGGCTCAAGTTTGAATTGCTCATTTGAGGGGCTGGGAGTAATACAGCGCTCCCCATCTTATTAGCGAAAAGCAGACATGGTTCGCTGAGCCATTCAGGCAAGAACAGGAAGCGGGGGGGGGGGGCGGGGGGGGGGAAAGACGTTTTTTCTTCCCCGCCCTTTTTCTTT